TTTAGAGTTGAAAATATAATAATCAAAATGTATAACTCAATAAATGGCATCAACATCAGGAAGTAGAAAACAGGAAAGAATCAGTGAACCGTTTAAGTATAGAATTACCCAATCTAAGTAAAAGATGGAAAATTGACCACACACTCTTAAAATGAACAGGGAGTCTCGGGTACTTGTGTAACTATACCAGAACAGCTGGCTTTTGTGTTATCCTGAGTTTGAGCAAGCAGCAAGTTAGACCTGAGAGAACCAAGAGACTGTACCTGTGTGTTGGTAGTCTCCTGAAGGTCAGACTGCTGTCCCTTAGTGGCTAAACACCCTTGAAGCTGGAGTTAGGTCCCTTACAGTCTATCAGAAACCCAAGCGACAAGCCAGCTTTCCCAATTGCCACACAACTACATTAATGAAAATCTTGTCTTAGTCACTGTTCTATTGCTGTGAAGAGACCTCATGACCAAAGCAACTCTTACAAAAGGAAGCATTTAACTGCTTACAGTTTCAGAAGTTAATCCACTATCATCATGGTAAAAAGCATGCAGTATGAGGGCAGCACATGGCAGGAGAAACAGCTGAGTTTTACATCCTGATCTTCAGGTGAGGATAAGAGTGGTAGTGGGGAGGAGAGAGGGAGGGAGAAGTAGAAAGAGAGGGAGAAAGGAAGAGAAGGAAAAAGGGAGAGAGGGAGAGAAAGAAGAGAGAAAGAGAGAGACTGGGCCCAGCATGGGCTTTTGAAACCTTAAAATCCACCTCTCAGTGACATACCTCCTCCAACAAGGCCACACCTCCTAATCTCTCTAATCCTTCCCAAGAGTTCCTATGGTGCCTATGGAGTCAATTCTCATCCAAAACACCAGAAGTCTACATCCTCAAAAGGCCTCAACTTAATTAAAATATCATTTTTACTGGTGGTTTTGACCATGCCTTCCACAAGCTATTCATTATCATGGCAAAAAGTACTCACCATAACCTGGGAAAGACTAAGGGTCAACTTACTTCCATGAATAACCACCCACCTTGTGAATATTCATAAAAACTCTTACAAACACAGAAAACCAAGCTATCTTGTTCCTATCTACCTCTGAGTTAGCTTACTCCTAGACCTCTGGAGTGTACTGTTGTTTGGCTAAATAAACTTCTGCTCAAACTGTCTGCATCTCTTAAATGAATTCCTTCCCCCAAGGAGACAAGAAGAGGGGAAATCTGTAGTCTTCTAACAACTAAGATGCCAGAGGAGAGGAAATGGGAGGCAGGATTAAAACCCTGTGAGAAGAAATAAAGATTGGAAAAAAATTCAAGGTGTGTAAAAGACAATGCTGAGAATTCAAGATGCTAAGGAAATGCCAAAGATATCAACTGGAAGACACATTATAGCAAATCTTCTGCAAAATTAAAGGTAACAAAGAAACTATTGTCATCATTGTCAGGAAGAAACTATCTGGATGCTGTCTTATGAGAGACCATGGAAGACAAAGTGAAGTTGTGATACATTTAATAAACAACAAAAAAACAAATAACACAACCCAACAAATCCTTCAAATCAGAATTTTATAACCAGTGAAAATGTTCTGCAGTGATAAAGGAGAAATCAAGACACATTTTCTGGTGTAAAAAAAAAAAAAAAAAAAGACTTTGTTGCCTGCATTTCAGAAAGGAGATAAAATCCCTGTAAAATCAAAGAGAACTATCAGAAAAAGAAGTATCAAAAAGAAACATTAGTAACAAAGAACAGTAGAGAGGGTAACATATAAGTAAATACACCAGGTTTTTCTTCAAACAGTTGAAGATAAAGTTAAAATGGTGACCATTACTATTCCAAATGCGGAGGCAGTATTTAAGGAAATGAATTTAGACAAGATTAAGGAGGTAAAGTAAAAGGTAAGCTATCTACACTTGACTCACCTTGGTAAATATTGACCCCAGTAGACTGTGGTAAGTTATGTACAGATAGTCTAATAGAGAACTCATGCCAGAGTGTATGTAAAGAAACACACAAAGCAAGCTACTAAAGACAAACCTAGAAGGAGTGTTACAGTGTTTATATAATGTTACAATGTTTATATAACTCAAAGGAAGACATGGAAAAGAAATCAGATAAATTAATAACAGAACAAAGAGAAAACAAAGACATTCTGAAATCCTAGCTTATCAGTAATTTAAATGGACCTTAAATGTAAATATATTATCAAAAAACAGAGACTCACAGACCAGAGTGAAAATAAGCAAACCAATCATGACCCAAAGCTATTCTGTATATCATAAACCCACTTAAAACTATATGGAAGTAAAGGGTGGAAAGGATATGCCAGGAGAACACTAATCAGGACTCTTACGTTATTATTTGGAGAGCAACCCTTAAAGCAAGTGAACCATTGACACAGAGAGAGGCAACACACAATGACTACATACCACTTCAGTGTGTATATTCATAAGGCAAAACTCTGCAGGCTATGTGGGGCAAATGCCCACTGAATTGAAGGTAGATAGATCTCCAGTTAGAGTCAAGTACCCCAGTGTTAGCAGCAGCTTTATGAATACTTAGGAGCTTTTGAAAGTACAAAGACAGGTCCTCTGACTTACAGATCTCAACTCTGTGGTCGCTCCTACACCCCCAGCACACTTGGGAGGCCCCCTCATGAAAGGTTTCGGGAAGCACCAAGATTGTCATTTAGGTAAACGTGTTTTAAGTTTTTGCTCAAAGTCTTCGCTGGAACAATAAGGCAAGAGAAAGAAAGAAAATGGATGCAAGCGAGAAAGGTAGAAGCCAAAGTAGTTTCACAGCAACATGATCCTTAAAAGAGCCTAAACAGATCTGCTAGAAAACTCTTAATCTGGTACACGTTTTCAACAAGGTAGCAGGATGCAAAACTAACCTACAAAATTCTGCAGCCTTTCCATATGTTAACTGTGAACTCATGGATTCCATATGTTAACTGTGAACTCATGGAGAAAGAAGTTAACGAATGGGGGAAACCTCCGGAAAACAGAACCAATCTAGATGTCCATCAGTTGATGGATGGATAAGAAAAAAGTTATCCTTGGTTGGAAGAAATACACAAGTGGAGTTTTCCTAGCTATAAAGAAAAAAGAAAAAGAATATGTCAGGAAAAAAAACATAACTGAAGATCTTGCTAAACAAAATAAACCATCGGAAATACTGCATGTTTTCTTCCATTCACAGGAGTGGTGTGTGTGTGTGTGCGTGTGGTGTGTGTATGTGTGTATGTGTGTATGTGTGTGGTGTTTGGGGGTATGCTGTGTGGTGTGCATGTACTGAAGGTCATGAAAGTAAGAGGGCAACAAAGGTCTTCAGGATGGGGGAGGGGAAAGAGAAAATGTGACATGGAAGAAACTGGATCTGTCTGTGGACAGGTAGAGGAGACATAGGAGGAGTAAGGAGTCAGGGAGGGCAATGATGGAGGGGATCGAATAAGAAAAACATAAGACATATGCTACAAAAATGAAGACCATCGCTTGATATGCCAAAACTAAAAGGTAATCAGTAAGAAAGCAAAGAACAAAATGAAGAGCTAGTTATGAAATACAAAAGTTAAAGCAAAGTCAATGCAATCAACGTTTAAAATATCATTCTGTTACTGCTAAGAAAACAACTGAGCTGCAAACTGTAAGAAAATTATTTGCAAATTATCTTCTTGAAAAGAGACTTTAGTCTATAACCTAAATGAGCCCCTAAACACATATAAAGTAAATAGTTCAAATAGAAAATGAGCAAATCGTGTGGAAACATTTCAGTGGAGGAGAAACTGGGCCAGCAGAGTAAGCACAAGAAAATTCAGTGTCACTGGGCCTTTGCACAGATGACCTCACTGAGATCGCCATGCATCTATTAGCACAGTTAGGATTTTAACTATAGGTATCGATAGGCTATGTGGGTAAGAGGACTTCATCTGCAATCATGAGGGTCATAGTTTAACAAAGCATCTATGTAAGAAGCTGGAAGATGGGCATGCCTGTGTCCAACACCCCTCCCCTACATGTGCTTAAAGACATACAACCACTCCTTGGAATCTCAAGGGCTCAATGGCAGCCAGCCTAGCCAACACTGCAGCCTTAGAGGGCAGTGAGAGAGCCTGTCTCAACCCAATAAGTCAAAGATTGCTTTGGCCTCTTCACAATGCACATTCGTGTGCAAGCACCACACACACATACACACAAATAATAATAATAAACACTAGCAAAATCAAATGCTGGCAAGGCTATGAGGAAAATTCAGGCTCACACATCTTCACTAGAAATATGAAATGAAACCTTGGAAAATAACCCGTGATCGCCTTACAAATTAAATATACAAATCATATGTAGCAACTTCTTAAGTAATCTAACAAAGCCAGAAGTGACTAAAATATCCGGCAATTAGTCAGTGGTTACACAAACAGGTAGGGCTCAGCAGAATGTGACTTTGAATGGGAAGACCAATAGTCGCTAGGAGCTAGGACTAACAGAGAGAGACAGAGACAGAGACAGAGACAGAGAGAGGTTGATTGATTCCTGGGTCCTGGGTCTGTGTTGCTGCATATTTAAGATACAATGCAGCTAAGCGGAGTGAAGGGTACGAGGGACCACTGAGCTATAATTGCAAGTTCCTCTTGTATGATTTTGTTTTAGATTGCGTTGGGTAGCCGTGGTTCACATTATTTCTCAAGAGGAGACTAAGTGAGAGATGGAAAACTCAATTCTCCCTTTCAACCTAATATGGCCAAGGACTAAGAGGAGCGACAGCAGGTGAAAGGCTGCTCCGCCCCTATCCTCCCCAGCCCTCAGCAGCTCTCCAGACTTGAGGATGCTACTGCACGCCCAGAGAGATCTGAGTGAGAAGCACTGGGCTCAGACATTCCCACCAATCCCAGAACTTTTGTGAACTTCAAACATTTGTGAGTGAGATCGCCTGGCCCCGCCTCCTGCAGGCAGGTTAAATCAGGGTGCCGCCTGGCTCCTCCTGAGCTCTGCACTGTCAGCTGAGACTTAGACTTGGAACAGCCAGAGCAGGAGGCTGGCAGGAATCTGTGCTCAGCATGCAGGCGCTGAACATCACCGCGGAGCAGTTCTCCCGGCTGCTGAGTGCGCACAACCTGACTCGGGAGCAGTTCATTCACCGCTACGGGCTGCGACCGCTGGTCTACACTCCGGAGCTGCCTGCGCGCGCTAAACTGGCCTTTGCGCTGGCAGGAGCACTCATTTTTGCTCTGGCGCTCTTTGGCAACTCTCTGGTCATCTATGTGGTGACCCGAAGCAAGGCCATGCGCACCGTCACCAACATCTTCATCTGCTCTCTGGCGCTCAGTGATCTGCTCATTGCCTTCTTCTGCATCCCTGTCACGATGCTCCAGAACATCTCCGACAAGTGGCTGGGTGGTAAGACAGTGATTACGCGTGCACACGCACGCACATGCATACATCTCACACACACACACACACACACACCTATGTTTACACAATTATCTCATCTTATATTTCTCTTTCTGTCGAACTGAATCCTGTACCCTTCTTGGAAATGCCCCACTTTGCAACCTTGCAGACAAAGTGTGGTTGGGGGTTTGTCTTTATGGTACAGTCCAGATATGGGTTGAGGTGAGAGGAATAATTAAGGGAGCCTGTGCCTCCAACTGATTTCAACCCTTTTCCATAATTACAAGGTTAGAGTTCCCTCTATGTTCAGTGAAATAATAAAACCCCCAAGGCTAAAAATCTCTTTTCATTTTCCAACTTCCGGATTTGCTTAGCAGTTACTTGTGTTGCTTCCAGATGTTATAAGTGCTTGTGATACATGTTGGCTAATGGATGATCTTTACTTTTTTTTTTTTTACAACAAATAATGTATTTGCAGCAAAAAAAGGTATCCTGGACAAGTCCTTTGTAGAAATTATACTAACAGAGTCATGTAGAGAGGGCAGCAGAAAACGAGATGAGAGGAGATGAGATTTCACACACACACACACACCTCCTTAGAAGAGAGGCAGAAATACAAAGAACCCACTGGGGAGGGTCACTAAGCTTGGACCAGTGTGTGGACACTGGAAGTTAGACTTTCTAGTCTTCTCCCAGGCACACAGCTAGCATCCATGGACTTCTGTGCTGTGCTCGCCCTACTGCTTTGGGGCCCCCGGGGAGGGTCACAAACTCTATGTGTTTCATAAATAAATGTGTCCTTGTAACCACATTTTAAATAAGTGATTTTAAACAAGAGACATGGTTCATGTTGCTGTGATGCTCTGCCATCCCTGCCCTCCTACTGGTGTCTTTCTAACACATGAATGGTGTTTCTTGCCCCACCATTGCCTACTGTGCATCATAGTCTGTTTCTTCACCACTGCTTTCAGCAAGTGAGACTGCTAAGCTGTTGGTTCTCCTCTCATGTATCATGCATCTCTAAGACATGAGTAGTTACTGAGCATGTGGCATCAACCTGACAGCGGTGATGTCACGGTCCACAGATGACACTTTCTCACATGGCCTACTGAAATCACTGTGGTTGAGTTTTGAGAGTCAATTGCTGCAACCAGGACCAACGAATTCCCAAGAGGAATTCTGGACCCTTGCACAGAACATCTTTTGGAGGAAAGGACTTAAGAGTTACGACATCTGAATGCTTGCACGCCGATTTAGAAAGCAATTGTATTCCACTTTAAAAGGGACATGAGCAATGTGGGATCACTGAGAGTAGTCCGAAGACTAGATGGTTGCCCCTTAGCTCTAACACATGCTAACTGGGCGTGTTTGCAGAGTAGAGAAGAGGAATAGAGCAGATCATTTGCCCCCAGCCAGAGGGAGGTGTGGTTCTCAGGGAGGGTCAGGCACCTCTTCCATGCAGAGAATACAGAGAAATGATCAAGGTTTACCTCATGCTTCCATTCCCTTTGCTTCCTGCTTTGCAGGAGACTTTAGCTTCTAAATGCTAAAAAGAGAGGATAATATGCTGCACATTTGTGTTGTAGGGTTAGTATATGAAAACATAAAAGTGTTTTTAAAATGATCCCATCAAGCATGGCTACCTACATACATTAGAAGCCAGCCCTCGGCAGACCTGGCTCTATTGTGAGTTTATATAAGGAGAGCCTGAATCACAGAAACAAAATGGGGGTGAGGCAGTCATCCTGTGGACGTATATGATTAATTCTATTCAGAGCTGTTTAGTTGGAGATGGCTTATATTTATGCAGGACTAGATAAATAATGGTCTATAAGTTGAGTCTACAACAACAAAACTAGTTAAGATGAGAAGAAAAAACCCAAAGCAGACCTGCAGATAGGTATATAGAGAATAAACTTCAGGATTTTCATAATAACCATGATACATTATCAAAGGGGAGCTCACAAGAATGTAAAAGATGAGAAGGAATTCATTAGTTACTTGACAAACGTATTGAAAAATTTCTTATGTGACAAAGTAAATGAAGCCCGAGGTCTCTGTGGGGTCTTAGAGAAGAGAAGAGGCCCCAAAGGAAGCAAAATTAAAATGTGGTAGATAAAGGCCCTCTGCCACTGGAACACTCCAAGGAAGTGGTGTTCAAGAATACTTGCCACTCTAAGTTTGAGGAGAGGAAAAAAAATGCTGTATTTTAGGAAGGCCGAATAAGGCAGTTCAGTTGATTTTATCAAATGGAGAATGATGGGAAGAGACAGAAAAGCAGGTCACTGCAACTAAGGAAGGAAATGTGTTGTGCAAAAGCCAAAAATAAGAAGACCCATCATCACGGGTGGGGAGGGAAGCATTCACTGGAGTTTAGCAGGAGGGAATGATGGCCCAAAGTAGCCGCTTCCCAGAAGGGCAGGATGGCTGCTTGGGATTGTCATGTCTTTTTCTATTGGAACTGCTACTACTCTTCCCCCAAGAGAAACCAAGAATATGGGTTTTATGACTTTGACATGTAACACAAACTAAAAAGCAAAACACAATGGAGTAAAAAAAAAAAACTCACATCTCTATGGCTCAAGTCATAAATAATTCACACTTCTAGTTAGTGTGTTTCTAACAAGCCACTGTCCCAAACATTCCAGGTAGTAGGAGGTGAGCAACTGCTTTTTCTTTCAATCCATTGCTTCCCCTGAGAAGGACCAGCATCACCTACTAAATCAGCACATGCATTTTAACAAGATTTAACAAGATGATGAATATTGCAGATTAGAATTTGGTGATCAGTGATTCTCAGAACCTACCTCAGCACACACACACACACAAACACACACACACACACACAAACACACCACACAAACACACCACACAAACTTCCCAAAGGGCTCTGAGAAATGGCCTTAGCCAGCCTGGAGTCCAGTGACAGGACTTGCTGGGACTAAGAGCCCCCTGGAACTTCCAGATGGAGTCCATGGTCCTCAGTTCGATTCAGGGCCTTCTTCAGAGATGTCATGCTACTTATTTGTAATCTGTTCTAGGGTGGCACGACAGAAATCAACAGCTACAATTGATGGCTGGAAAGCAAACAGGTCATTTTGTCTTTCCAGAGCACCACAGAGCAAAGACGACTTCTTCTTCTTCTTCTTCTTCTTCTTCTTCTTCTTCTTCTTCTTCTTCTTCTTCTTCTTCTTCTTCTCCTTCTCCTTCTCCTTCTCCTTCTCCTT